TGAATTATTTTAAAGAAAATCCCTGAGACATCATATCATTTCACTTCTTCATGCTTTAGTGTGCATTGCTAAAAAAAAAACGAATGTTTTCTTATATAACCACAATGTTCATATTATACTTAAAAAAATTAATAGTTACTTTTTGGTAACATTTAACACCAATCCATAATCAAATTTCCCAGATTGTCCCTGAGTTTGTTTTTATCACCTTTAAAAGGGGATAAAAATACCGTTTTTCCCCCTTTGGCAGGGATTTTGTGGGAGGGTATTAAATACCTATTTTGGATCAAAAGATATTGAAGTTCTGTTATACACCAGGATCCCTTGCCTTAAAGACTTTATAGTTTGAAGAACATATTACAATATTTGGCACATGGTAAATGCTCAGTAAATGTAATTGTCAGTAGTGACAAAGACTTTCTTCTCTTTAAGGAGCTTGCAGTCCAAAAAACTTTATTTTTTGTTGTCAAACTTTAAAAAAAAATTTAAAGTAAAAACCACTTATAATCTCACCAGTTAAAAAATTTTGTAAGTTGGCTGTCCTTTGTAAAGGTCTGGAGAGACAGAATCCAGCAGCAGTGAGCACCTCTAAGCTCCAATTCTGGTCTCTAAACACTCCTTCTCAGTAACAGGAGACAGAGCTCCTTGGAGAAATGGTTTGTTTCTAGGTCTGGGGCTGGAAATGAGCCAGAAAGAAAGCTGGCAAAGAATAACGAGGCCTAATACAAAAGACACGGAACCAGCCTGATGGGACTCCCATTGGCCAAAGATGGGACAATTTGAACATCAAAAAAGAACGTGATGGTGACCAACTGAAATATCAATTACAGTAGTCCCCCCTTATTTGCAGAAGATATGTTCCAAGACCTCCAGTGGATGTGTGAAATTGTGGATAGTACCAAACCCTATATATACAGTTATGGTGATTTTTCTTATACATACATACCTATGATAAAGCTAAATTTATAAACTAGGTACACAGTAGGAGATTAACAACAATAATAAAATAGAACAATTATAACAATATGCTATGATGAAAGTTATGTGAATGTGGTCTCTTTCCCTCTCCAAACATCTTATTGTACTGTACTGAACTATTTTGGGACCGTGACTGACCATGGGTAACTGAAACTGACCATGATGGTAAAGGGGGGCTACTGTATATGAAGATCCATCAGTTCATAATGTTACTAAGTGACACACAACTCGTTGGTCATCACTGGGAGTCGTCAGGGCACCATTTCTCCACTCAGTAAGTGGAGAGAAAGACCCCACCATCTGTGAACCCTCCCACCTGTGCCGTCTGTGTTTCAGGATTACCAAATGGCTGATGAGGAAAAAATCCTTATAGGCAAATTCTAGGTTATAAGTGCAGAGAAATTAGAGGAGGAAAATCACCATTTCGTAATTCCCAATGAAATAATAGATCTGGGCAACATTTCATAGCAAATGCTCAAACCTATTAGGAGAAAGGTCAGTGGGAACTCCGTAACGTATGGGCCATGCTGACAATTGAATGTAAGCATTTAGCTCTGTAAACTCTACTAAAATGACTGTGAGGTCATATGGAAGTAGTGGGAAGTGACCCACATTCCTTGTGCACTGCAAAAACTCCAAAAGTCAGTAGGCAGCTTTGGATGTGAGTGTGGTGATAGCAATAAAAGCAGTAGACTTGCTGAAAACTGTCATATGTGTTGATTATAACCCCAGATCTCCTCTACTCCTGAAGCAGGTGACTGTCCCTCCTTCACCCCAGCAGAAGATTAGTATTTGACTCAGTGTGGAGTAAAATGAAATGCATCTAGCTGCACAGCTGGAGAGACATGCCCTGCAGCAATCAAGGGGAATAAGTGAATATCAGGGTGTTCCACCTCATCTGGCCATCCACAGAGCTCTGAGAGTGCTCACAGCTACGCTGTACCCCCACCTAGGAAATTCCTCCCTAGGAGCAGGACCAGACCTAAAGCGCAACCACAGGCGTTCTCTAATGACACGGCACAGTGAGACACCCCCCCCCCCCCCCCC